GACGATTCTCTCCTCCAGAAGCATCAGAATTGGCAAGAAGTGATACTGTCCAGCCCTTTTAGAGATTCGCCTTGTACTCTTTTTGGTACCATATCGTAACAGCATTTGGAAGATCTGATTTTCCAACAACAAGAATTATAGTCTTCGTATTCCTGATCGGTTAACAATTAGAATCCTAGTCTTTCTGTTCTTCAAAATTTTCTGTTCTGTGACTTTCTACTAAATTCCTTCTTTTGTTTTTTGGTGAGTGCCACTTAAAAATAGCTATACTTGAGGTTCTAAAAGTAGCCCACTGAGGCGCATTAAAAGTAACTAGTAAAGTTTTATAGCTTTGTTACATGATTTCCTGGAATTTTCGGGAACAACTCAAGTTTTTTCTCTTTGCAAGCATTTTGTAGGCCGTCAGGAATCGCTCCGACTGTGCCAATCGGGAACTTTCTTCCCAAGGGGTTGGTTCCAACATTGTTGTACTCGGTGAACCCCTGGCGACTGACATCGAAGACCAAATGAACCAGAATATGCCCTGTCACACATCAAATCCTTCAAATACATACAACATGTGACTGAATGGCTCCATATCGTTTCATCTGTTCAAATCGCATGACTGCGGTGGTGTACAGATGTTCGTTCGTGCGAACGCCCCCGAGTGAAGGAGAATCGGTGGAATGCCACATTCTCGCTCTCTCAGGACTCTAGATCTGATTTCCAATTAGCTATCAGAGCCTTCCAGACGACGAACGGCTCGGTTACTTTCAGGCATCTGTTGGTAGCCTCCCATTGATTTTAAAACCCTTTTTTTCTACCAGTCGTTCCATTCGGACACATCCACCACGTCATGTAACGCTCACGCCCCAGCTGACGCTGTGCTGTTCTCCTTTTTCCTACATTGTCCAACACTCCACAAATAATCCATGGGATTTCCCAGATTACGCTCATGTTCATTTACAATTCCCACACATCTACCGCTATGCCTCAAGATAGACTATCATTATCACTGGGTATCATATATATCATTCATTACTACAAGTTCACTCATTACCTTCTGAACATCGCCACGGATAGGAAGGGTTTGGACAAAGCCTCCAGGCTGACGTGTCAGAAGTTTCCCATCCCTTTCATCTACCATCACTCCTCAAGATATGCTATGGTTTTATCACTCGTTATCACCCTCTATCACTCATTACTACAATTTGTAGCATTATGACATCATAGTAGCTACTTGACCTATTTCTATACCGATTGAGCAACATTTTATTTCCCTAAAATTTATTATTGGAACAACTATTGTCAATCGATACCATTTGCTCCTCGTACGTACAATTTTTATGTTTCGTTCTGGTTGCTAGATCACTCATTATCATTCATTATCAACTTTTTTACCCACGGACAGTCTCCATTACCGGAGCTGAACGGTTCCTCCACTCTTGCACATCGTCCTATCATTGCGTTTCGCTTTCCTTCAACTTGCAAAAATCCTACCTGCAGGAGGATTTTTGGAGTCTGGGCAAAGCCATCAGGCTGATGACATTGTAATCGTAAGATCAGGCATAAGTGCGACCCATAACGGAACAAGGACGGGTTATGCTCCTCAGAATGCGGTCCTTATAAAAGTTTATCCTTTTTCTCTTCAAACACAACATCTTCTGCTGCATAGGGTTTTCGCTGTTAATCCCTCCTCATCAATCATCGTCCTAGAATCCCGTCTTGGATCAACAATGGCAATTCTAGTTGATGTCCATGCCTGTTTTGAAAACTTCTGTTTTTGTTGTCTTTTTGGAATCCAGTTTACATGTATGAAGGCGACGTCTGTTTGGGATCTGACGCTTTGCTTTCCTTTTCTGATATGGGTACAAGGGTGAACCATGAAGTCATTGTTACATACTACATCCTCAGTATTGTTGTTTGTCGCACGCCCACATAATCATAACGAAAGGTGTTTGAAAATCTCTTTAAGACCTTCTTGTTGGACAATGTACTGTCTACTGCAAATTCCGACTGTCCATTGTAATAGGGGTGTGGTACAGTAGCATTGAAACTGTCGCGTCGCGGGGAGTGAGACGTCGCGCGCGAAGGAATGTAACAGATGCTGCAGCGAGTAAGAAATACACGAACAAAAGAACTAACAGTAGAATCATGCTTGAAGTAATGATCGCATATCGATTGAGCTGTATGAAGAAAGGTAGAACTGTAATAATGAGGCAAATGATTTGCGACAGCCGCATGCGGCGAATCGACTACACAAAACCGATCCTACTGCCCATCTCCCTTGTGATAGCACTTGGAGTTTCTATAGGTCTACTTTAAATACGGTGAGTAGGAGGTAGACTTCAGTTTTTGCGCAATACTACATCTACACCTTCAGTGGGAACACATGGCGAATTCTCCTATCTTGAAAATTGTAAAGTCTTTCAACTGAAAAGGTTGCTGGCCGTCTATTTGAATTCCCGATTTTCCACCGCTAACTTTTTTTCAAATTTTATCAGATGTAGAGGTGAATAGGAACCTAAACTCAATGCATCATGTGTATCAGTAGTCATTTCATTTTTCTGACGACCTCTTTTTCTGAATATGACCTTTTAAAGAACTCTCTTACTTGCTTTGATTCGCGATTTCTCCAGTTTTTTTCCTAAAACCAGTCAAGGAGAAGAGTTAGAGTACCTTTTGCAATATCGCTTTTAATCAAACCGTCGACATGTTTTGAATGTTACCATGTTGTTTAATAACAGGCTTTTTCATTCCCAACGTAATGAATGCCTTCATGGCGGCGGCAGGAGTCAAAGGCGTTGCTGCTGCTGCTGCTGTCAAAAGTGATAATCATTCAAAATTCTTTTTTTTGCCCAGTTTTCAAAGGGTGTATTTGCCTGCTTTGTCAATTTCGTGGTGAACTACCCGGTACGGGGAATGTAGTACCCCGTACGACTTCCTGTGAACCTCAGCATAAGTGCTGTATTACTGAGTTGTTTGCTTGCATCGGAATAAATTTTTAAGGAATAAAGGATGAGTATAAAGTTTTTGGCGTTAATCAATTCCGTCTGAGGGATGCGCCCCCGCACTCCACGTCCATTCAGAATCGTAGTGGCGCAATGAGTGCGTATGTGGCCTATACAATGACTTGCGGTGGCCAGCCGATGTACAAGTCAGTGCTTTTATCGTCCCAGACGAGTCTGGTACCAATTTACCGACCCCGGAGGGATGGAAGGCTGGTTGACCTAACCGGATATCTATCCAGGTTCGAACTCGTGACCATGCATGTGTGAAGTGGCCACTTGCCACTACACCGCCTTTGCCCTTTATGATGAATACATATATAAAAGAAAAAAATGGACACAAATTGAAATCAGAGGAATGTGTAAAAATGGTGTGTACAGTGACTAGCGGCCCCTGACGATGTAAGAGCTTTTGTCCTCCCAGACGAATCTGGTACCGATCAACAGATTCCACAGGGCTTTAAAGTATGGTTGATGAGTGCGGTTGTCGGTCTTTGCCTCGATCCCTAGAACATGTTAACGGTGCTTGCGCCATCCGAACTATCTACCCACGTCTCAATTTCCCTAGTACTCAAAGGAATCCAATTTCCTCAACTCCTAAATCCCATCACTTTGCTATTTTGTAAATTCTTCGCCATGGAAACATTTTTCGCTGAATGAATTGTCTGCATAATTATGGCATCGAATGATTAGCTGTCTCCACGGAAAAGTGCAACACATCTTTTTTTATTGCCTAGCACATGATGAGCCTAATCATTTATGTGGCAGGAATTAATCCCTTTTGCCGCTGTCTTTGCCTTCGTAATTTATCCTCCCATGATGCTTATAAGCCATCTTTTTTTACCAGAATTCTTTGCACTGCATATCTCTTCCATCCCTTCATACTTTCACAGGCAGTCCTACTGTACTTTTGTTTCCTTTTCCAAACTATTTATGTTGCTTTGTTCGCCTTCTCTTACATTATTCTCATCTTTTTATTGCATCAAAATACATCGGCATGAAACTGCCAGGTTCGGTCGCGTGCGGCTGCGAGGCGGTGCGCAGTGATATAATGGCTTTCGCAGTGGTTCTTTCTTAGTCACTCACCTGGTACTTCTTTCAAGACGCCAAAATAACAACGAACCCCAAACTGGTAGAAATAGCAGGTCTAGGCGCATCCTTTGACCCGCAGTCGCTGATTCCAAACGCACGCGACCGCACACGGCAGTTTCGGCTGATCTCGCATAGCAAATAGGCAGAAAGTATAGAAAATTTTTATTCCGATAAGAACAGGCATATCGAAGAGAGAATAATTTTCCTTCCAATCCCACTAATTCTGTGCATTTTCAGACGAATCGAACGGTTCTGTAGTGTATAGCGAGATACGAAAGAAGCCATCAAGTCACGAGTCAACGAAAGAAGTCAGCGATAAAGAGGACGCATCTGAAACGCGCCAAGCGGACGAAAACACTTCATCGGTGAATTTCAACGCTTCTTCCTTTCAACAGATTACAAACTGGTTGGGAGAGGATATAAAAGACGAAGATTAAGCTCAAAGCTGTAAATCATGTCGTTCAGTATTCTATCTTATTTCCCAACATATAACCTCCGCGTTTGGTGGGCATTTTACATAACGTTCTATACTGCTCTGCCGTACAGGTTTGTTATGACTGAACCGCTTTATTGGTCAAGGTCTCGACTGAATCGTCATCTTCAGGGCCTGAAAGTAAATCGGGGCTTCTGATCTGTGACTTATCCGACCAAGCGTCCAAACGCGCCAGGCTAGTTGCAACAACTCCCAGAAAGTCGAACATCGGAAACCGGCAAAGTGACCAACCTTCGGTAGTTTCACCAGCGTTACCTCCCCCTCCATCAACAACAGCCAATGAGTCAACATTGATCATCGTAAGATAAGAATCATGTAGGTGATCTTAAAGCCGGCAGAAAGGAATGAATGGCAGAAATTTGCCCGTTATGGCAATGCACTCATTTCGGGTTGCTCAGCTCGGGACTTCTTTCGCGGATGTGCAACGCTTCCAGTATGTTTCTGGCACCATCTCATTCTCGTATGCTAGGATTTTGCATTTAATATCAAAATCATTGCCTTGATGTTCTTCTGGTCGATGCTTCCCAAGTGGGAAAAGAGGCTTCCATGCTTTTTTCTGCTAGATGTTCTTTGACACGTATTCCTAGCATCCTTTCCCTTCTCACCAATATAAATTTTGTCACAGGCGGAACGCTGAAGTTGATAAACCGTCCCTAGCTGTGTGCAATCTCCGTTTTTCTGAACTTATATTTTCAACATCATCTCAATAAATGTGTGAGGACATGTGTTGTGAAAATTTTCGTTTCTTGAAGAAGGTCCCACACTTTCAGGTGAGGTTGAAGAAGTATCTCATGTCAACAAACATTGCCGTGACATACTTCTTCAACCTCACCTAAAAGTGTCCGAACTTTTCAAAAAATGAATATATGGGTTACAAATCAGCTGACACTGGGTCATCTTAGTACAGCTCCAGAAGGCGACGACTGATTGCAATTATTTTATGCATGTACTGATCAATTGGCATACAAAGCAGCATGTAAGGTAGGTAATGGAGTTATGTAACATGACCCAGTTCAAAGTAAACAAAAACAAAAATCTCCTGGGAACCAGACCTACTTAGGTGAGCTTGTCGACGGATTTTTCAGGAACACTGTACTTTCCCAAGCGACACCATACCTGCTGAAATCAATATTGGTGTAATTTTACAAAAATCGTGGAAATTATTGTTCTAGCTCTTGCATGCTGTAAAAATTTGAATGACCATATTATCCTGAAGAATTTTGATGTGATGGAACAACCGATTATATTTTTATCGCATTCAGGACCAAGCGGAAATGCCTCCTCCGCCGGTGCCACCAAAACCGCGTTCCGCCTCAGCAATGGCGGATCCCATGGTGCCTGAATTGCCTGAGCGGTCAGTTTGCTTGATCGATGAGCTGATTTCCATAAACCAGCTGAATATCTGGAAATTTTCAGACGGGGAGTCCTACCAGCACAGGTACGACCACTTGTTCAACGTCCTCCCAGTCCACGAGAGGCGGGTAGAGCAACGCCAAGTATCGAGCCTGATTTAGTTGGGAAGGATCGGTGAGGATCTGAAGATTTTTGTTAGAATACTTTTTGATTTCTATTACAAATGTCCCTTTGCTTCAGGTACGATAAGGCTTCAAAGTGCTTCTCGTACGCTCCGACAAAAGCGCTGAATGAGGCATTCGAACGACCAAGGAAACCTGCTGCAGCTGCGAAAATCGAACGGAAGGAGGATGAGATCCAAAATATCGATCCGGATGAAATCAGCACTGTGAGTTGTGTACAACAGCAGTTGTATAAATAATTAGTAGAAAGAAGAAGGTTTGAACAGGCACTGGGGAATTTTTCTGTCGTAGAACTTACCAATGAGAAGTATGAGGCATAGGTAAACTCGATGCTACCGATCTTTTGCGAAAGGTTGAAAGGACAACTTCCATGAACATGAGTTATGTTAACTCAGTCCTACCTAAAAATAAACATCGCAACTCGTGGTGCTCAATAATACTGATGATCCACAATTCTCTCAAAAAGAGACCGCAGACTAGCGGCTTGGCTTACACCAATGTTATATGAAAGGTAGCATCAGTGGGGGGTATAACAAAGGCAAAAGGCATAGGCTTCGAAAACAGGTAGAAGGGACGATCGACAGAAGTGGGAATGGGGGCACTAACAGCAAACTAATGGTATATTAAGTGATGTAGCCCTAGGATAAGGGGGGGGGGGGGGGGGGGGGGG